ATAATAAATAAAATACATATTATTTATATAATATGTATATATGACATCATTCTGTAGGTGTCCTGGATGAGGAGAAGCACTCCCAAGTTTGCAGGTCTCCCATCCCAAATTTGAAAAAGAGGAACTCTGATTTTTCTGGTCTGGAACAGTAAACTATCCATTTACAATAAGCAAAGCTGATAAAGAACCACTTGTATACATTCCTCACTTACGGTTAAATCTAAAGAGTAGGGCTTATGTAAGGCCTCAGGTTATTAAAAATGCTTCCACATGTTCCATCCTGTCCTGAATTAATCTCTCTGTGGGAGCTTTGCTTCTGGGTCACATCTGTAGATGTATCAAGAGAATTGTCCTAAATGTCACTCAGTTTTTATTGAAGCTGCTTTAAAATATATTTTTTTTAAAAAAAGATGCCAACCTCCACGGAATCAGCACAAAATCCTAGCTTTATCTGCTTGGCTTTCCGAATTAACTCTTAATTCAGCTCAAGAAATATTAAGCATGTATCCTAAATAATGCTTATTACTGTCTGGCTTTTCAGTTAAACCTTCATAAGCTTTTAATGAAAAAGTAGTGAGACTCCCACTGCCACTCGGTGTGTTGGGTTTCCCCCAGGTTCCCCAGTCTTGGGCGATCTGTCTCTTCAGGCTTGGAGAGTTGTGTCCCTGAGGCACTGACACAGAAGGGAAATTGTCTGTAAAGACAGAAAGGAATCAGCCAGGTTTTATAAGGTTCTGATTTATAGGGAGACAGTGACTGATAACTCTTTTGAGGTCAGTGCAGTCTGTGTGGGAAAAGGAACCACACCACTACCACCCTTCTGCTGAAGGCAGGCTGGGTGTGTAGTCTTGGTTATTAATGAAGTATTTGAAATGTTGAGGACTGCCCATCTCCCCTTATTACCATCCCTTCGTTCCCTTACCCTCTCCAATCAGTTTGTCCTGCATGTTACCCTCAGCATATAACCAGATCTTACCTGTATTTTGTGAGAAGGTTATCTCCAGTTAAAGTGCCCCAGCAAAGCATACGGCCTCTAGAAAATGCCCTGATATGTGGGAATAACTGTTGCCCAATCCTTGTATGTCAGTGCTGCCTCCCCACCGGTTTGTTAACCTGCTGAGGACATAGCACTCCATCATACTGAGCTAAGATATTTTGGCTAGGCCTGGGCAGCTACTGGTCCACGTAGTGTCTCAGGTGGTACTTTGTCTACAGAACTTGTTCATTTTTATCATGGTCAAATCATCTGTGGGTTCCCTCTAAAGAACAACACTGATTTTCCTTACAAGAGGAAAGGCAAGAGTTACATGTGGTGGATCAGAAATAGAGCAGCAGCAGAAGCAGCTGGATGAGTACTTATTGAAGAGTATTGAGATGGCTTAACTCTTACCAGTCTCTGCTGGAGATTGTCCCCACCGACTCCTGGTGGCTTCCTCCTCCCTGCCGTGGGCTGCTGAGTCACCGCTCAAAGGCGCTCGCCTTTGGCACTGCACAGCGCATGGCTTCAGGGGAATTCAGGCCATCTCCATATGGCCCCAGTTGGTGCTGGCTTTGGCTGAGTACTGACGACTGCTACAATCACCAGAGCTCACAAGCCCGTAGAAGCATAGTGTGGCTTCGGACCATTTCTTCACCTGCTCCATGCTGGAGCAGTCAGAGCAGCACGGGTGCGTTTCCAGTGGCCTGGCATGAGGAGCTGTTACCAGCTGTGTGGGTCCCTGTTCTTTCTGCTAGTGCCAGCTCACAGGTGTGCAGGGCTGGCTGGTTGTCACACGCTGCGGGTGGGGAATAAATTCATTCTGATCGGTGGAAGGGTAGAGCTGAGCAGAGAGGAGGGTGGTAGAGAGGGTCATGAGACTGCAGGTTTTACCCCTAGTTATTGTGTTGTTTAATTGGCGTTGTTCTGAGTCTTTATTGCCTGTGAAAATAAAGAATTTGCTTTGACCATAGGTGTCTGTTAGTAGTGTATATTGCAGTGAGAGTATTTCCTACTTAGTCAATATCCAGAGAAAATCCCAATGCTCAAAGAAGTGACCGTACAGTCCCAGAGTGCCAGTAGCCTGGTGCCTGCCTGCCTGCCGCGCTGCTCTGGCGAGTGGAGGGGCGGGACAGGCCGGTGCTGGATGTGGGTCCTGCCCCTGCCTGCTGCGCAGCAGCCCTGGCCCCCACTTCTCAGTATTTGCTCTCTTTTGGTCAGGTAACCTCTGCCTTTACTTAAGCTTCTTGGCTCTTTTTTTCCCATTGCCCTATTGGCAATGCTGGTTGCTTCCTCTTAGGTCATAGAGCTTTGTTTTTAAAAAAAAATTTAGCTTTTCTAGTGAAATGTGACTTTCAAGAGGGTACTGGAGTCTTCAGTTGCCAGTCACTACTCACAGAGCAGAACCTGATTTGGGTTTGTTGCCACGTCTGTGGTGTCTGAATGTTTTCACAAATGCAATGCTTATTAATTTTTATGTATTAATTTTTTCACTTTGAATCAAGACTTTGTGGTGATCCAAGTGGTTAGTGAGTGGCTTGATTGCTTTTAACCTTTTCTCTGAGGAACTCTATGCATCATTTCTCTTTAGAGTTTTTTTAACGTTACCAAGCTGAACATTGTCGCCCACATCCAAGCAATTGAAAGGCATACATGAAGAAAAGTTCCTTTGGAAGTGTTCTGTGAGACTGCTTTATCCGTGTACGAATATCTTCCAAAACTGTGGGCTGAGAAGATGAGATTTAGATCCCAGCCCTGCCAAAATACGTTAGGAAATCTCAATGTTCCTTGTGCTGTCCTGTACTACAGCCTCCACTGGTGTACAAAAGTCTTCAGAAACAGGTCCATCAAGTTTTACAAACTGGTAAGGTGTTTTGGGGGACTGGGTAGAGAAATCTCACTCCCATGCTCAGCTCAGGCTTCACTGACCCTTTTTCACAAAGTTTATTGATACAGGAATAGTTTCCACCATGAAAGATTAAAGCGTTTCTGCCCGTAAGTTGTGCAGACCTCTCAAGCGCCAGTTCGGTGCTTTCACCAGGGGTCCACTCCTGCTTCATTTGCTCCCCCTGCAGCTACTGTCACTGACCAAGCAGTGCCTGTGCTGTCTCTCCATGGCCTGCCAACTTGCTTTTTGGTGCCTGTACCAGCTTGCACTGGTACTGGTTCGGCTCGTTTGGCACCAGTGTGAGCAGGTGCAGCTGCTGGGCCTGCTCCACCCACAGTCACACTTCAGTGTCCCAGTGGACCAAACTGGATGATGATCAGGATTAAAAAACTCAGCAAGATAAAGGATGTGTTTTTGTTTAACTTGGTGCAGTTCCTGACACTGACCACCATGTAAATCCATAAAAAGCTGTGGAACAACTGAGGAGGTGTCTTGGAATGGGAACTCATCAACAGGAGACCACAAACCACAAATTCACAGGTGTTGGAAAGGGTTTTTAAAGAGGGGGACAACAGCTTGGAGTGCTTTAGGGGAACTATTGCATGCAGGAGGGAGTGGAGAGAAGGAGAATGAATGCAGTTTTGTATTTTTTTCTTCATGTTATGATGGGACTCAACAGGAAAGCTTGATACTTAAATGAGGAATTTTCAGGGAAAGGCTTCCCAGCACTGCAGGACTTGATAAAATGTTCACATAATTTTTGTTAGGAGCAAGGGAGTAACTGAATCCTTCTTAATGGTTTCACAAACTTCTCTTACATGGCATAGCAAACTTCAGGGGTCCTGTCTGCCTCTACCTCTAATTTTTATGTCCTTGGTTTCACACCCACCTTAGGTTGTTCTTCCACAGTTGATTTTTTCCCTCTGGTAATTTTCCCCTTTAAGCAAATCTCTCCTGTGTTATTTCTCAGCAGCCCATGCAGGACTAGATTTAACAGTGCTGTTCTTTCTGTAAGGCAGGAATTGGTCGGTATTTTGCACTTGCAGTTTCTCTAACTGGAGTTCACTGTAAAATTCTTAGGATGTCCACAGACTTTTCCTAGCTAAATAAAAACAAACAAACCCCCTCAGCATCTTTGGATGTCTGCACTGGGTTAACTTATGTTGTGTGACTAAAGTTACGATGCCAGTCTTGGAAAGTGAACTTGTTTAAGAATAGCTAAATTTGTTATTAGTAAATTATTGGAATTACTGTAGACTACAGATCATTGGTGCAAAGTAGAAATACAGGCTCCAGAGAGCACTGAAGATGTAATAAAATTAATGTAAAAGAAGCACTGTTAGCTGAAAACAGACAATGCAGAGCACTTGCACCAACTGGAAATGGGAGCAGTGTTCAGCTGGGCTCATGTACCTGTTGTGTTTGCTTCCTTTTTCTTTGTTTTGTTCCAGTTTGGTTTCAGACTTTGATGCCTTGTTCTCTGGTTAATAATGCCCACGTGGTATGTTTTGGTGATGCAGTAATGTCGAGGAAAGGAGACGCTCCCAGGAAAGCTTTTGTAAGTGGTTCTGTTCTCTGGAAACGCCAGCTGGACCATTTGTAATCTCCTCTAGAATGTAGGTCAGACAACTGCTGCTCTGGCAGGGGCCCTCTCGTCTTTCTTCCAGCCCCACTAAGCATCCAGGTGTCCTGTTCTGCCCTGCACGGGGGAGGCAGTGCCAGAGCCCTCGCTCATGTGTTGTCCTCCTTTTCCTTCCTAGGGGACAGTCTTTACTTTGGAATCCGAGGAGGAAGAGTACCCTGGGCTCATCGCAGAGGACAGTAATGACATCTACATCCTGACCAGTGACAACTCGGGACAGGTGAGCCCCCCAGAGTCCCCCACGGTGACCACGTCGTGGCAGTCGGAGAGCCTGCCCGTCTCCCTGTCAGCGAGTCAGAGCTGGCACACGGAGAGCCTGCCGGTCTCCCTGGGACCCGAGTCCTGGCAGCAAGTGGCCATGGATCCCGAAGAAGTCAAAAGCCTGGACAGCAATGGAGGGGCGGAAGAGAGGAGTGAGAACAACTCTTCCAACTCGGATATTGTTCACGTGGAGAAGGAGGAGATACCGGAGGGGATCGAGGAGGCAGCGGTGTCGGCCGCCGCAGAGACCGTGCAGGCGGCGCTTCCAGAAGCCCCTGCTGCTTCCCAGGAAGTGAGTCCTCCAGCGGAAGCTGCTGCCGGTGGAAAAGCACATCCCTCTGCACTGCCCCGCGCCAAGCAGGAGGAGAAGGGAAAAGCGCCCGAAGAGCTTGTTGAACCTGAAATCCCCGTACTAAGTAAACCTGTCCCAAAGTTAGCCCTGTCAGAGGAAAAGGCTGCACCAGAACCCGAGAAAATACTGCTTCCAGGGGAAAAAAAAGTGGGGAAAGAGGGTCGTTTGGAAGAAATAGAAGAGAAATCCTCGGCCACAGAGGAGAAGCCTATCCTGTTGCCGGAGGGGAAATCTATGCTGCTGTACGGCGGTGCGGCCGCAGTGGCAATACTGGCTGTGGCCGTCGGGGTGGCGCTGGCGCTCAGGAGAAAGTAGGGGCGCTCTCTTGAAAAGGAGTGGGAGAGAGGAGAGAGAGAGAGAGAGAGAGAGAGAGAGAGAGAGAGAGAGAGAGACCGATCCCATTTTTGTAGTTGTGTTACCTAAAGGTTGAGCTGCCTGCTGTTTAACGGGACATTTCAGTAACTTCATGGTGATGGGGTGAGGTCGTTCAGTTACGCCTCCCGCTGCGGACAATCATGTTTTTAGTAGAACTGGGGTGGGGACTGGTTTTTCGTGATTAAAGTACAGGGGTATTTTTAACAAAAAATAATAAATTCTGCAAACTTAAGAACTGAAGTGCAGGTGCTGAAGAAAGGGGTGCTCGTACTCTAGGAACTGGAACAGAGAATCTGCAGGGGAAGGGGAGAGCCAGCTGCTGCCAACCCCTGAAGTTTTTGGCTTCTCAGAATGACCGCTACTGCAGCTGCGCTGTCTTGTCACTTCCCGTCGTGCCCCCGAGCCCTCCCTGACAAACATTAGCCAACCTGAGGCGTGTAGCGAGAGGCTGGTCTCCCTTTTGTCTTGGCTTCCTCTCAGGTACAGCACTGCTCCTCGTAACCTTGCAGGTTGCTCCTAAGCCCCAGTGGGAGAGTGCTTATTCTTACCTCTTTGCTCACACTGGTTTTGGTCCCTAACATTTACTGGAGCCCCATCCTGTAAAGATGCTGCCTCTCTATAGCTGTATTATCTCTGAACATCCTGGTGGTCCTGGGGGACAGGACCTCTCAGTGGCACCCAGCTGCACGGGACGGGGAGTGGGAGGGACGCTGCCACTTGCTGGTTTGAGAATCCATTTGCTGTGCTCCTGCCCAGCCCACTTTACTGCCACCCTTGGGTCCCCCGAGGTGCGAAGTCCATGCTGGACAAGAATGCACGCTGGACGCGGTGCTGTTCCGATGGGCACGCCGGCAGCAGGGCAGAGCCGGCAGACGTGGCAGAGCTCGGCAGCG